GGGTTGGGGTGGGGGCTGCAAGGACAGGCTTGAGGGGACCCATTCTGCCCCGCGGCCTGGTTTCCCGGGTGCCGGAGAAGGTGAGGGCGCAGGACGGCAGAGGCCTGAGCTGCCGGGCCCGCGGCACGCTCACCCGCGCACACCTGGGCGCATCCGCTCCCGCTCGAGGCCGGCTTCCCCTCCAGGCGCTGGGCCGGTCTTCCGGCCGAACTGCCCACACCGGCTGGGCCTGGCAGCGGCGATGCGGAGCGCAAATCCACTTCTCCGGGTTTTGGGAGGGTCCTTGTGCGACTTCTGAGAGGCGGAGCCAGGCGGGGAGGTGGAGCCCGGGCCTGGCGGGGCCGTGGTGGGCGGGGTCTGGGCGGAGGGGCGGAGCCCGGGGAGCTCGGCGCCTTTTCTACGCCCCTTCCCTGCTGCGGTCCGCGGGCAAAGCTGGGAGCTTGGGGCTGGGCGGCCTCTTCCTGGGGGACGGGTTTGGGATCCTTTTGAAATAATGTACGTAATGGAGTGGGCCGAGAATGGTGGAAAAAAGTCTGACCGGCCGGAAAGACGCAGGAGGGTGGCGGGGGGGCCTGGCACATTTGGAAAGTGGAAAGAGGAGTGTAAAAGGGAGGGCACAGGGCCCGTCGGGCCTGGAACTCCTCTTCCGCGTGTAGCTGGCAGGAGCGACTCAGAAGTTAAATAGAACGACCTTAATGTCACATATTTGATATGCTAACTAGTATTTCCACCGCTGCCACCACTTTTCACCCCAGCACCAAAAGAAAACACCAGTCATGGTTCTCAGTCCCTATGGCTCTGGCTTCCATTCCCGGTTTCGCTGGTTCCTGACCTGGGACTGTCTCTAACAGTAGTTGAGAAGCCTAAGGGGTGCGCAGAGGGCGAGGGGAGCAGAGGTTAATGACTTAGGAAATATATTTGAATATCTTAAGCATTTTAAAACATGTTTTTAAGCTAATGTGTGGTGCACACGACGTACTATTAATATATTTAACATACATAAAATTTGAAGTATATTAAAGGAAAATCTGTGCCTTCCACATTGTTAATACCTCGCATTTATACGTGGACCTGCAGGATTCTACCTTCACATTACTCACCGCCATTATTAGATGTTTGTCTCTCCTTGTCATTTCCAGCAGTTTGTGTTCCGGTTTTTTTTTTAGCTTTATAAAAATTATACACACACAAAGGTATGTATCCTCCCAGGACTTGCTTTTCTCATTCAACATTTGTTTATTTAATTCATCCAAGTTTGGTGCAGTAGTAGAAAGGTGTTTTTCCCTGAGTAATCAAGCGTAAGTTCTCTCCTTTTAAGAATGTATTCAGGGCCAGCTGGTGGTGAAGTAGAAAGGTGTTTTTCCCTGAGTAATCAAGTGCAAGTTCTCTCTTAAGAATGTATTCAGGGCCAGCTGGTGGTGGTTTTTAAGGTGGTTGGCTCCCACTTGCCCTACTGCAGTTAGAGTCCCCGACATACACGCCTGCTTGGAAAACACCACGGACATGTGTGCCTGTATACTTAAAATCTGGAGAGGAGAAATGTGGCCATCCTCCATTGTGGGGTGCTTTCTCACTTTCTCTGGCAAGTGCAGGTGCCTTCTAGTAAAATTTTAAAAATAATACTATATTCAGTACAGTGGATACAGTTACAAAATGCAGTTTACATTTTTTTAGAATTATTTTATTTAACTTTATTTATTATTATTATCATTGTTATTTTCCAGTTTGATCAGAGAGAAACAGAGAGAGAGAGAGAGAGGAAGTGAGAAAGCAAGCCACCAGGTCCAAGACTTGAACCATGGTCAGCCATGTGGGAGTCCAACGCCTTTAACCACCATGCCACTTACTGGCCCCAACTTTACATTTTTTTTTAAATCATGAGAATCACATTTATCAGACTTCTGAGTTTGTAGGTTACAAACCTATAACAGAAGTCTTTCTGAATTTTGTAACACTTGTAAGTTCTTATGATTTATTTTTCTATTACACATATTCACTTTTGAATCTAATTTTTTGTTGTTTTTTCTTTTATGAGAGGACAGACAGGTATGCTTGAGAGGGTCTCTGCATACCTGAGCCTCCCTCAGCTTCCCAGACAGCCAAGATAACAGACTGGGCATGCCTGATGTGCCCAGGTAGACCAAGGATCCTGGTCCCCCTCCTATGTGGCTCCACTGCACGTGCCCTCCCGCTTGTACCGCCACTGCAGTTGGGCAGCTAAGCTTAATTTTTCGCCAAAATTCTGTATCCTTTTCTTAAAAAGTCTCCTCCCTTTTCTAGTTATATAAGCTCATACCCTATAAACCTGAGTCTGCCCCTTGGTAGTTGCTCACAAGGCTGGTTGGAGCATTTGTTCACCTCCTGTACACGTGCCCGAGTCTCATTTACACCTAGGGGAGCAACGATTTAAAAACGTACATTTTTCATCTTAGAAGTTTATTGCATCATGGCCAGAAAAATCAATATAATGTACTGACTCATATGAGCTAGTTCATAGTCTGTCTATCTATCCATCCACCTATATATCTACATATATATATTTAAATAATCTCATACTCACACTCACACACACACACTCACACCCTCATACACACATACAGAGAGAGAGAGAGAGAGAGAAAAAGTGAGTAAGCAAGCCACCAGGTCCGTGACTTGAACATGGTTGGCCATGTGGGAGTCCAGTGCCCTTAACCACCACGCCACCTGCCCTGTCAGCCACGATAGTCAATATGTATATTTTCAGACAGGGTCTCACTGTGGCAATCCACTCGCCTCAGCCTCCCAGCTAGGACCACAGGCACATGTGCCACCATGCCTAGCTCCAATTTTTTTCTTTTCTTTTCTTTTCTTTTTTTTTTTTTTTTTTTTTTTTATTTTTTTGTTTTGAAGTTTTTGTTTTTTAAGTTTTTTGCTATGAAGTGTTTGGACTTGCTGCAGACAGAGAGAGACAGAAAGAGGGAAAGTGAGAAATCACCCCCCAGGGGATATGGCCTGATACAATCCCTTCTCCATTCTGTTGAGATTATGTGTGTGTGCATGCAAAAGCGCCTGGCATGATTTTCAAGTTACTGGGTCCAAGACTCAACCTAAATCAGCCATGTGGAAGTCCAGTTTCTTAACTACCATGCCACCTACTGGCCCCCAATTTTAAAAAATATTTTAAACCAGAGAAAGAACATCTACTCACCAATAGATAGGTACAGAGATACATGTCTGTGTAAGTCAGGCTTGGTACTTCAGATTTTTCTACATCTTTGTTAATGTCCATGCTCACAATTGCCCATTGTATGCTTCTTATTAAGAAATAAAATAAATCAGTCTTCCATAAGAGTGGACTTGTCCATTTTTTCCTCTGTAGTACCAGTGATTTTATTTATGAGTATTTTGGGGCCATTTAATTTTAGAATGGATATTTGTAAGGCAATCTGAACATTAGAACGACGGGACTTCAAAGAGTGTGTAATAAACCAGAATGAAGCTCTGAGTTTATTTCGGTTCAAAACATTTTTGAAATCTCCGTGTAGTTGTTTCATAATGTACATTCTCCATGAATTTTGTGAAGACCCCCTCACATATAGAGTTTCAGGTTTTAACGCATTCATGAGAGTCCAGTCTCCAAGTCCACTGTCTACACCCACACAGAGTTCTTTTATAGCACCCTGTTACATGACCAACGGACTTATTTATACTTTTAGACACACACAGCTTCCTACTTTACAGGGCAATCCAGTTCTTCACTGAAGATCTCTGCTTGATTATAAGTACCATTGAATTAGACTCAATGGCTAGGCATTATGCAAAACATTTTAGAAACATTGTCATACTTTATTCTCAGTATAATCTTATAAGCCAGGTATATTATCCCCATTGTACTATGAAGAAAGAGGCTAGGGTAATTAAGTGGCTTGCCCAAGATCACACAGGTAGTTAATGGCACAAAATATAAGCCCAAGTCTGTCTCCGAAATCCACTAGACTACCCTGCCTCCAAGCTCTTTATGTTAGGTCTAAAGCCACATCCTTTTCATTTTCATTTCATTTCATTTACCATTCATTCACTGATGCCAACCACCAGTTCTTCCCAGTCCTTTGGAAACCTCAGAACTCAAGCTAATATGTTTCCTAACCCTTTCCAACTTCCCTCAAATTAAGGGGGAAAAAAATGTCAGAGGGGATGTGTGCTTGCTGGTGAGAGAGAAATCAAGAAAGCACCCCCAGAGGACATGGTCAAGCCACAATGCCTTCTCCTCCATCCTTCCCTTTGGGATTTTGGGCACAAGTGCACATGTGCCGGGTGCATCCCTCAAGTTGCTAGTCAGAGATTCACACCACATGGTTGGCCACGTGGGATCTAGCTGCTCTGACCGCCAGGCCGAGGGCTGCTTGCTCACCTCGACCTTCTCACAGAAGCTTCAGACCTTTGTCATGTGTTCATTTTGTTACTTTTGGGAAAGTAGCCAATCTTGAAATGTTAGGTGGTTCATTCTTTTTCAATTATTTATTTATCATTATTATTTTTTGCTAGAGGGCATGCGTGCTTGCCAGAGAGAGAGAAAGAAACCCCTGTAAGGAATGGTATGCAGCAATCCCTTCTCCTCCATCTCTCCCTCCTTTCAGAATTTTGGGTACTTGTGCA